TACCAGCACTAATAGTAGCTATGTGGTGACACTACCAACACTAATGGTAGCTAGGTGGTGACACTACCAACACTAATGGTAGCTAGGTGGTGACACTACCAACACTAATGGTAGCTAGGTGGTGACACTACCAACACTAATGTAGCTAGGTGGTGACACTACCAACACTAATGGTAGCTAGGTGGTGACACTACCAACACTAATGGTAGCTAGGTGGTGACTCTACCAACACTAATGGTAACTAGGTGGTGACTCTACCAACACTAATGGTAGCTAGGTGGTGACACTACCAACACTAATGGTAGCTAATTGGTAACATTGCCAATACTAAGGGTAGCTAGGTGGTGACTCTACCAACACTAAAGGTGGGTAGGTGGTGATACTACCAACACTAAGGATAACTATGAGGTAGCTATGTGGTGTCTCTACACACGGGTAAGGGTAGTCGTCTTCTCCTGTTATACGCTGGTATGTTCACGCACTAGAGCCAGTGTCAGTAGTTAGTCTTTTACTGCATATTATTCTAAGAGACATATATATCAATATAATCAGATAACCGCTTACCCATCTAGAAGTATGGTCTAACTACCCTTACCCGTGTGTAGAGACACCACATAGCTACCTCATAGTTACCCTTACCCGTGTGTAGAGACACCACATAGCTACCTCATAGTTACCCTTACCCGTGTGTAGAGACACCACATAGCTACCTCATAGTTACCCTTACCCGTGTGTAGAGACACCACATAGCTACCTCATAGTTACCCTTACCCGTGTGTAGAGACACCACATAGCTACCTCATAGCTGTGTGTATCTCGTGTGAACATACCAGCGTATAACAGCAGAGATACACACAGTAAAGACGACTGTGTGTATCTGTGTGAACATACCAGCGTATAACAGCAGAAGACGNAGAGAGAGAGAGAGAGAGAGAGAGCAAGAGATAGAGAGATAGAAAACAAAAAAGAGAGAGAGAAAGAGAGAAAGAGACAGAAAGAAAGACAGAGAGCGAGAAAGAGAGAAGAGCGAGAGAGGGATAGATTTACAGAGACACAGACACAGAGAGATAAACAGAAGAAGACAGAGAGACATTCAGACAACCCAGCGCGTATACTCGCTAGCGTAGGAGACAGCACCTTTCGTGTACGCCCCCGTCGCGAGGTTCCCCTCTGAGCTCATCTCTGCAATGATGAGACATCCCCTGTTGCCCGACGTCGGCCTTCCTCCGTTAACGACCTGCGGAAAAGAAGACAAGAAGCCATGACAAGAGCTTCAGCTTCGAGGCATCAGCTTCTCCTAACGATCACTCACGCGTCGTCTCGATTCACACAGGTCTGTCCATCCATGCGACCACCTACGCAATTGTTTACCTGTCTACGTGATTGTTTACCTGTCTACATGACTGTTTACCTGTCTACATGACTGTTTACCTGTCTACATGACTGTTTACCTGTCTACATGACTGTTTACCTGTCTACATAACTGTTTACCTGTCTACATGACTGTTTA